CAGCAGCAGGTAGGCGCGGAGCAGAGCACGGCGCTTGCTGAGGCCCCGCGGCGCTGCCAGGGCGCCTCGCGGCTTCTCTGCCCTGTCCCCCTTGCTCGTCCGGGCGGCTCCGAGCTCCCCCTTAGTCCCCCCCGGTCCCCTCCGCGCCCGGCGGCGCCAGAACGGCCCCGCTCCCCGCCCTGCGCGCTGAGCTCACTCCTCTGAGCGCCGCCAGCCCCGGCTCTCCTGCTGACAGCGTCACCTCCAGCTTCTGCCCGATGTCTCTTTTCTCTGCCCCGTTTCCAGCCTACAACCTCTCCTGCCCGGCCTCCCCCTCGAAGTTGCCTTAACTCAGGTTCTGGTATCAACCTCGGCCAAAGTGTCACGGTTCTTGCCTGCGTTTTTCCCGCCACCCGGGGGAAACTCTTCCTCCTCTTGGTTGAGCTCAACCTTCTGAAGTCTTGGTGGATCGTGTTCCCTTAGCTCTTGCGGTACCCGCCCAGATCTCTTGGTAACTTAACTTTACTTTACTACTTTACTGCTCCTTCAGTGTGTAGAGGAGGGCAGACGCCCATCTGCTTCTCGTTTCCTTCTAGGTCAGCTGCAGTCTAGCAATCAGTCCAAGTTCCTTGTGATTAACTGAGCTCTCCCCACGGCCTTTACCGCTGCTCTTGATTGTGGTGGGTTGACTGCTGTTCTCTAGACAGCAGGTAGCATCTAGGGTAGCATCTAGCCTTGATTATTTGGACCGTGTCTAAGTTTTGCTTCTACTTTGTGCACAGCAGCATCTTTAGCCTGTCTTCTCAGGCTGTTTCAGGACTCTCACCTTGTGCTTCCATCTCTGTCACAGGCTCCTTCTGGACATGACAAAAGGTTTTTGACAGGACGAAGATCATTTAAAGCAATGCTGGCAAAGTTATCTTCCAGCTTTCATTTACTGCACTGCTCTGTCTCTTTAGTGTTCGGAGCACCCAAATGTAAAATGTCGGGATCTAACTCACTCTGTCTGACAGAAGACACCTAATCCAGCCTGTCACCTCCTCCCCTACA